ATAGCCTTCATTAGGTACTGTTTAATATCCTACTTTATTCAACCATGACATGAAACAGTCTTTTCCATTTATGTATTAATTAAAAATTGCCAGACTATTCTTTTCCATCTCTTCCTTCTCTGTGCCTTAGAATTGGCACCTTACCTCTTTTGCTCTTCATGCTAATCTCAGAGCACCTGGCCAAGAACTTTCAATAACTTTTAAATAAATCAGAGAAAAAGAAAATTAATTAATATGAGAATGTAGCCTATTTTGCCTAGAACAGATCCCTGGAAAATCCAGGTATGTGGAAACCATTCTTATTTTAGTGCGGTCTATTGGCTAAAAATATGGAATCAGATGGCCTAACTATACTACTTCTAGTATGGGAAAATGACTTGATCTCTCTGTGCCTTCTCGTCTGCTCTGCAAAAGGCATGTAATGAGGATTAAGAGATAAGAACATAGAGTAGGGAGAACAGTGTGTGGCTCATATTTAATGTTTGATAAACATTGTATTATTTCACTAGTACACAAAAAAACGGAACACCTCATTTTCACTACAAAGAGTTCAGGAATTATTAGCACCTTGTTGTCAAGACATTTACTGCCAAATGGGAAGTCAAGGCTAAATAATCTACAGCAACTACTGAAAGAAGAGTGTTAAGGTTGGGGGTGTCAGGATGGAGGGTTGAAGACCAATAAACCATACAGGCCATAACCTCATGACCTGAGATTACAGAATGTAGGCAACTTCACTCATAGCTCCTGGAATGCACTGCCAGCTGACTTGAGCCCACGTAGAGACCAGGTGGGACACTCCTGTGGGTTTTAAACTGTTTATTACACACGGAAAGGAAAAAAATGAGCTTCATTTCTGTCCCCTCATAGTTTCTCTTTCAGCATATTTCTTTTACTAATCATACACCTTCAAGTGGTTTTGTGCTTATTATAATTCTGGGATATGCCGCAAAAGTCCATAATTTCAGAATGAAGGGCTGATAACTCAGAGTATTAGGCATTAAATTGTGATTGCAAGCAAAATGATTATTTCTACAGCCAAACAGTCATACTTGCCTTTAAGTATGTGTGTGTGGGGTGGGGTGGGGGGTGGGGAGTCTTCTTTCCTTTTCTGTTTTTTGAATTCAAAAATTCCAGAGCAGAACTTAGGAGAGATGTCAAATTGGCCAAGGTCCCATGCAATCAGCACAGCATTTGGCCCATAATGGTCACTTCCAAAGATGTTTCTTTGAAGAGTCTGATAACCGGCTTTCTAGTAGCATCAACTCTTTATGTAATATCAGATTTCAGTCTCTTCTCTACTAAATGAAGTTGTTTAATTGACTTGTAATTTCATCAAGTTCTCAAATAGAAAAGGATCCATGAAAGACACTTGATTGGTATTCAACTCAATGCACATTAGACTATAAATAGCACTAAAAATATTTATGCACATGTTACTCTGCTCAACAGTTCTTGAAGAGACAGTAACTACTTATTTGACAAGATAAGTTTAAAATGTTTAAAAATGATTTAAGAATTTTAGAAGATGAATTGCATTATTTGTTAGGAAGCCACAGATGGTCAAAATAATATTCAATTCTATTTTCTTTTTTTACTTTCCTTTGTATTATTTATCTATTATAGCAATCAAATTAACACTAGTAAGTTACATATTTTGTTAAAATTTCTGTCAATTATTTTGAAAGTTAAATACTTTTTCTGATGATTTTATAACTACATATACATGTATATAAATGTGTCTATATACATACATACAGACAACACACATATATATAGATGTAAAACCTTACTTTACTTCTTAACAACTTTGTTGGAGAGATAAGGCTTCAATTTCAAGTTTTTGCTTTGTAAATGAGAGAATTTAAGTGAGTTTTCAAATTCACTGAGCTAAAATAATGACAGTATCAGATGATGGGGAATTCATCTCTCCAATTAGTGAATCCTAGATTTTGTGCTCAAGTAAAAAGAAAATCACAAAAAGCAATCCAGACAGCCCAAAATAGGGTAGCAACTCCTGTTATTTTTTTCAAAGAAAATTATATACAAAACTTCTACCTACAATTGTTACTGTACCATCACAGAAAAAAAATATAGCTCTTGAGTAGTAAAAAATACTTTGGAAAAGCCACTACATTCTACTGTTTTTCTCATTCTGCTATAGAAGGATGAAAACTTTTGTGGACTTGAACTATTTCTCAATCCATTCTTTCTTTTTAGTTCCCTAGAATTCATCGTATAAATACTTGGAAATGATTTCCCTCTTTTGTGTTATTTCGACAGATTAGTTCTTCCATATCCTTTTCTCCCTGTATTTCTTCATCTTTTTTTGGGTCCAGTCGTGGGGCCTGAACTCGGGCCTGAGTGCTGTCCCTCAGCTCTTCAGCTCAAGGCTAGCGCTCTACCACTTGAGCCACAGCGCCACTTCCGGCTTTTTTCTTTTTGCTTATGTGGTGCTGAGGAATCGAACCCAGGGCCTCGGGCATGCAAGGCAAGCGCTCTACCACTGAGCCAACTTCCTAGCCCTATTTCTTCATCTTTTAAGAAGTAAAATCTACTACGTATTACTTTTTTTTTCCCTTTTGAGAGATGGAGATAGAGCTCAGAGGAAGGGGCACTTGTTTAGTATAGATGAGAGTCTGGGTCAATCCCCAATGAGGTTAAAAAAAGAAAACAAGCCATTTCCCTTTTGAAAGATGCAATAAGAGGCTGTTCTTGTATTGCTACTCAAACAAAATGATAAGTATCACAAATTTACATACAATCAAAACACAAACTACAGATCAACTGAGCACAACTAAGGTGCTAACAGAGATGTGAGAAATACAGGAGCAACATGCTGCCCACCACGATTTTTTCCACATTGCTTCAGTAAGAAGTAACAACAAGGGAAAATACTCTATCTCTGTCTTACACTTCTCACTCCCCTTTCAAAGTCATTGAAGGAAATGAATTAGCATGATGTCTTCTGTGTAAGTAGGCAGAGGCAGTACCGTATGTCTTTAACTTCCAAGAGGTCTCTTCCTATTCTTCCTCCAAGACTTTGGTTTTATAGTCTGTCAGAAGTTTCTAGGCTTTATATGACAAATAAATATCTGTTTTTTTTATAATGGTCAATCTACCATTACATTCCACACACCACTGTATTCACATACCAAAAAGAATAACTAACAAATCCTATCCAGTCTTATAACCAATGTCAATGCATGGTTTTTTGATATATGTGATCATCTCTGAAGACTTCCTTTGGCTTTGGGAAAGAACTACATAAATAGTGTAACTATAAAATAAATTGTGCTCCATCAACCAAACCATGCTTTGAGATCAGCAAGAATACTCCACCCACAAGTCCAAACTGGTCCTATGTAGAAAGAAGCTTTTCAGTGAATGTTTTATGAGGGAAAGTTTTCTTAATGACTCTAGTGTTCAATAGAGAAAGTGCTGAATTACTCAAGGATTACCATAACACATTTTTTCTATTCCTTTACACAAATTTCACTTGCAGCTTAAAAATTTTCTATGTGGTAATAATTTTATATCATAAAATGACAACACATTCATAATACACCTATGTTTGCATTTTATGCTATGTAAAATACTTTCACACATGCCATCCTTTGTTAAAAACATTCTGAGAAGGGCAAGATTATTTCCATTTTACTGAAGAAGAAACTAAGTCTCAGAGAGGTTCTATGATTTGCTTAGGATTACACAAACAAGAGCTAAAACTTGAGCCTAGTCTTCTGACTTTGTGTTCAAGGTTCTTTCCATTATTCACATTCTTCACTGGGGTCACCATTGCAGGTGAGCCACCAACCACAAGAACCTATCAAACATGGCTTTTATTCCAGTCAAGTTAAACTAATCTATCAACAACATCAGGAAGAACAGCCCATAGTATGAAAAACCTGTGATTTGTGTTTACTTCTATTTTCTCACCAATAACATGACAGAGTCATCTGCATTCTTTCTTTTTAGCTGCCTAAAATTCATCATATAAACCAACCAATTTAGGATAGTTAGGAACCAAGGGCAAGAAGTACATTGGCTTTTCATAAGAGAAATTATTTGGAATCATATCTACTATGCTTTTAAAAACCAACATTTCACAGAAAAAAAATTTAAAAAAACTGAAGAAAAGTTTGTTGATCACCTATTTTTGTGGTTTATATCTTGGCAAGAGCTATTTAAAATATATGAAATACATAATTTACATCTATACTTTATAAGACAAAAGGCACAGCTAAAGAATAATAATGTGATAATTACTAAGATGTTAATGGATATTTGCTCACCATGTAAAAATATACATTGCATTAAATAGCTACAATTAAAAAGCTGTGTATCTTAAATAGACTACTATAAGAAAAATCAGGACTGTGTTTCCTGAAATTAATGACCACTGCCAATTCCAACCAAAAGTTTGAACAGTGTCAACTAATGCTATAATAAGATTATGATAAACATTATCATTAATGTTTACGATGAATGTTTGTATATTTAATGATAGGTTCTTGTTAAAATACAGATTATTAGCAACCCTTTCCAACAAAAGGAAAAATAAGCAAAGTGACACAGGTTTTACATATTCTTTGTCCCCAGCTCACACCATTTAGGTTGATTAAAATGTTAATTTTTACATATGTGAATAAAACGTAAAGGAACCAACAACTGGAGACTGCTTGGCGTCTAGCCACCATTGCGGGTGGGTAAACTGACAACATGTAACTGCATATTAAGACAAATGTAGAATTTAGACAAAGTATTCCATCTCTTTTCAGATGTATACTTTTAAACCTCAGGAACTGTTTTCAGTAGATGTCATGCCTTTTAACTTGAAAAAAGATAAGCGCAAATAAGCTCCCAATTGTCTCCCCAATATGTAAACCACATCTCGAGCTGCTGTCTCTGCTACTCCTTTGAAGTTTCCCTGAAATGTCATGTGTTGTGAAGACTGCTGTGCATAAGCAAGACAATTTGCTCACTCCCAGAATTCTTACCGGTTTCCACTGCTATTTGGTACCCAGCCTCTAGTCTCCGAGATGACCTTTCCAGCCTCTCTGTGTTATCGAGCAGATGTGCCCTCTGAAAAAGAAAAAGAGGGGGGAAAAATCACACGGCCGTCTACAATGTTCTCTTTTTTGTCTTAAAAAAATGCCTTTGTATGCACTAACATTTGTATGTGTATGGTAGGGGGGGTGAGTTCCTGCCATCCACTATTGTTAATTTTTAGCAACTCTTTCATTACAGAATCATGATAATGGACGGATTTCCAACCAATTTAGGATACAATATACCATCGACTTTTTGGGGGGTTGTTGTTTTAGAGGAGACTCATGGTGTAAGTGACCACAATGAATGCTACTCCAAAATCCTGAGAAATGTACTGAGACCACAGCCAAGTGCATCTTTTTGGTCTCAGCAGAGATGAGATTCTGGCACAGATCTATATCCTTATTGTGTGTGTGTGTGTGTGTTTCAATAAAATGCAATCATTTCAAAAACCCACTTGTTCCTTTAATTCCTGAAAATAGTATTTTTCACTTTTGAGAGAATGCTCTTTTATATTGGATGTGCAACGAGGTGCCAAAGAGAACAACATATGCCTCTGAAATAGAAGTGTTAAACAGTTTTAATTTTTAAGATGACCCACTAAGAAACAAGAGACACGTTTGTCCAATCACAAAGATGTACAAAATTGTGGATTCATTCCCAAATATACAATACTAGGTTAAAGGTGGACTTTTGATACTGTGATTTAGACTGTGAACTAAGATTACAATGATTATATACACTTCTCTTATGTTATATTTTAAGGGGAAAAGAGAGGATCTCTCCCCAACTTTCAGCTTCAAAACGTTCTTTCCTACATTAAGACTTTTCACATGTTTAACCATATACCTATTTAGGTTCCTAAAATAAATTTAGAAGCTAAACATTGCTATGAATAAGAATACATGCATTTTGTATATATATATATATATATATATATATATATATATATACGTCTCAATTCTTAAAAATGTATGTATGTGTGTCTGTATAATTGTATGTGTGTTGGTATAGACATGTATTTGTATAGACTAATATCGCCCTTCCTCAAATCAATTTTGGTGTCTGGTCAAGAGAAAGAAAAAAAATGCAACCACAACCCCTACAACTTTGTGTTATGTTGTTGACAGATGTCACTTAAAATAGAAAAAATGCTTTCTAATAATAATAAAAAAGGAGGTGCCACACGCATTATCTGAGTGGCTGTGGAGTGAAATGATCCACGTTGCTCTAATGAGCCCCCATGGATCTTGGAGATGCAAGCTGTATTGACATGCACACTTAAGCTAATACACCTAGACCAGTGCCTCCAAGCTCTCGCAGCCAGGGATGCTGACAGAATATCTCGCTTCCATCTTCAAAGAAAGGAAGTGATTAGTATGTTATCATTACCATTCAAAACGTGATTTCCTTATTCCCTCCCGGCATAGGTGACACATCTGAGATGCGGCCAGACGTTAGAGGCAGCTAAAGCCACATCAAAGCTTTCCTTGAAAAAAAATTTTTTGGGGGGGAGCGATGGGGGAAAAGAATCATTAAAACAATGCATTTAGAACAGAGAGACAGGACCTAATGTGAAGGTCAGGAAGCTACAATAACAGTCTATAATAATTAATAGAGTTGTCTAATATTCAGTAGAGAAATTAAGAGAAATATTCCCCTCTCATTCTGCAAAAAATAAAAAAATAAATAAAAAGGAAGAAGTGCTTCTTCTATCATAGAAAATCAAAACCACTTAGAGTTATAACCGAGCAAATAAGAGCAAAGGAGCTCTCTATGAATGGCATTGCTGGTCATTTTTAAGTAAAATTAAGTACTACTAAGCTTGTCAAAAATAGCTTTCAATTTCCTAACTCCCTATATGTAGGTTCTAGAAGTAAGGACTGCCCTTCACTCCTTTGAATACTGTTTTCTACCTAAACAATGGAATTAACTTCAAATTGGCAAGTTTCTAAAAAAGGTATCAATCAGATCTAAGAAAGCAAGAGAAAATCTGAATTTTCATCCAGACTAAAGGAACAGAATTTTTACTTTATTTTCACATTGGATAAAATCTCAAATTAAAAGAAAACATTTAGCTAAAATAGACTTAAAAAAAAGCTAGACCAATATTAAAAATGGTCATGCTACTTATATACTAATATATTAAATAGAAAAGAAAGCTATGCTAATATATAGTGTGGGAAAGCATTTAAATATAGAATAATTTGGGGGATACCACAGCTCATACACAGTAGAAAATTTTCTAGAAAATATTTTTTAATGCAGATTCCAAAATAAGAAGTAACTGATTCTTCCAGGGGGTTCGACTATCTGAGAGCAAATGAGCCACAGAGGAATGTCGGTTTACCAGCTGCTTTTCAGCAGGATTTCACTTTGTATTTCGGAACCTCTTCACTTAAGTCAAACTAAAATCAAGTTCTTGTAACAGCTGTGCTATTTACATTGTTCCCTTAGTGGTGCATTGCCCTGGTCGCTGTCAATGAAAGGAAATACGCTACCACAGCAGCTGATGCTTTCAACTTGCCCCCACACTCCATCCCAAACTCATTCTCTCACCCCTCTTCGCAGCCCTTTTCAAAGCAGGTAAGTGAAACTGTGCAGAAGCTTCAGACGGAGCTCAACTAGTATGAGGAGCTGTGCGAAGTGGGGAGCTGGAGAGGCAGGATTCAAACAGCTCGGCACAGCCAACACCAGATCAGCTCCCTCTGTACCACAAGCCTGCCTCCAAGCATGCCTGGAGAAGAGTATCAGGAGGAAGAGATGCCAGCATACTGTTTCCAAACCCAAAGAAACATTGAATTTGGAAACATATGGGTGCTTGTCTTCTTAGCATAGGTGCAAGAAAGAAATCTCGAGTAACAATTACTATGAAAATCCTGATTCAGAGACAATCACTTCTAAGCAACTCATATGCCAATTCAGTGTCACCCCATAATCAAGCCTAGAAATGTCTATGCTTACATCTATATCAAAGGATAGATAGAATTATATTTCACAGTGTATCATTCTATTAGTTAGTTCTTCTAATTGTAATCCCATTATAGGACACTGTTTTGGAAACATCAACTCTAAAACCATAATAAATGAAACCGTTGCATTGCTACAGACACCACACAAAATTAAGCCATCAAACAATGATACATACTAAAAGACATGCATACTTGTTTTGGGCTTTTTGAATGAAGATATCTAATTCCATATCATTCAACTTAACAAAAATCTGACAAAAATGTGTTTATAACACAGCACAAGATTTTGTTTTCATTACTTAGATTCAGCAACAAGAGCTTTGTGTAGTTCCTTTATATGAAGAGTTTAAACTCTACTATTAGTTTTGTCAACATTTGTGAATTCTGATTCTTCTCCTAAATGTTAGCATTTGGGAATATTAAAAATAGATATACTATCTTATAGGAAAATAATGTTGATATATCTCTCACTCACCCAAAGAATAATATTTTATGTCAAAATGACACCTGTTTTACTTTATTTTATTTATCTGCTTCTGTGTAGAAAACACAAGAAGATTAGAATAAGGGTGTTTGTGTATTTTATTTTTATTTTTGTTTATATGGCATTTTTACTTTTACTAAGAAAAGATATCACTAATACATCTTAAATAAGAAGGGTGGCAGAAAACTACTATTTACAAACCCCTAAATTAACATATGCATCATCCAGAGAATGATGACATACCAATTAAAACTGATTCCAGGCAAATGAAATCTGAACTAATTCATAGTATTCTGATTATTATAAGCAATTTTAAATGTCAATATGGTCCATTTTTATGTCCTAATAGGAAAATAACAAAGCACCTTACTAAATAAGAAAAAATTTAGCTACTTTATCACTGAGAAAAAAGTACCAAAGCATATTAGATATATGAGGCCTCATTTAAAAAAAAAACCAAACCATAAACAGCATCATTCCACATCTTTCAGTGACATGGGGATAAAATCATTAACATTCTGTAAATATTTACTAGTCCACAAAAAACTCCGGAACTGTATCATGAAACTGACTAGTAAACTCAGAAAATGGAGAGCCCACTGGGGTGCTGTTTTAACAATGACGTGAGCTTTGGCTGTTCTGAGTTACCTGCACACACAGACAAGCAGGGACACATGTGTGTTTTCACCAAAGAACAGTGTCTTATGTGCAACATACGAATGTGGGGGAGGGAAAAGAGGTGGAGAACAGCTTTCAGTAAAGTAAAACAATCTCACAAAAAATTTAATCACATTAACTTCTTTGAGAAACCAATATAAACTACACAAATTTACAGTAAAACAGTATCATTTTAAGATGTTCTTTTGTCATTCTTCTTTTTTTGTCTTTAAAATATAATTTTACCTCAATGTCAGTAAAATAAAAAAACAAATCCTGTGATATGCATGATTAGAATACAGGTTTTAAGTGTGTGTGTGTTGTTTATTTTGTTTATATAGATGTGTATACATATATACACACAGACACACAAACACACACACACACATATATAAAGAGAGAGAGAGACAGACAGACAGACAGACAGACAGACAGACACACACACACACACACACACACACACACACACACACACACACACACACACAGGGCAGTGGAGAAGCTTTCTGAGCCAAAGGTCAGTTGTTTTGCTAGGTGCAGATTTCCCTAGAAAAATGAAGGCAATGATTCACTTCAGATATGAACGTCAATTTTACAAGAAAAGATAGAATTAAAAAGAAAAAAGGAAGCTAGAAAGTACTCACCTCTTCACGTAATTTTATCAACTGCAACATGAATGCACAAAAAAAAGATAAAAAGGAAAGAAATGGCAGGAAAGAAAGATCAGTTGTGTGACAGTATACAGAATTAACATTGACAATTTATCTGTTTACATGTTTAGCATTTAAAAATCACAGACAAACACATTAAAAGAACCTAAACATAGACTACATGCAGAGTTTTTTGAACGAATAAAGATCACTTTCTCACACTGTCACATTAAACAAAGAGAATAGTGTGAAATTCTCTTTTAAAGTACA